AAGAAAGTATTATAATGTTTGCCTTTCTATTACTAATAATATAAAAGCAATCATTATGATACTTTTTGTATACATTTTAATCCCTTTGTTTAACAGTTCTATCTGATTATTAGACAGACTTCTTGACCGTTTGTCAAACGGAAGGCTGCATCCTCCGGAGGTCACATTTGTAGGCTGCATACGTCATGAAGATCTTATTTTAGAATATTAACAGTTATAAATTTGACCATTATTCTTAGTTAAGCGTAAATTGTTGTAATATGCTTATGAGTTGCGAATGTAATGCTCGGTTAACTGAAAAAAACCACGCTTGATGACGTATGCAGCCTGCAAATGCGACCTCATCAACTTTTGTTGATAAAACTTCAATTTCTTCGTTTAATATAAGTGAGTGTCTTAATTTTTTCTGGGTTTTCATAAAAAAAAACAAAAAAACAATGAACCACAAACTAAGCATTCGTTTTAAATAAGGGGAAATACCTTATTTAGGCAATTTGGGTTACAACGCAAGGCTAGGCTATATCCATCTTATTCATTTTGTTAATAAAAGTTAGATGTTTAATATATGCAAATTTGCCATTGTACTATTTTATGTCTGATGTGTTTTAATTAATAACATAATAAACCACAAACTATACGATCATTTTAGCCTAAGGGGAAATCCATATTTATTTGTGTTAAACGCGGGTAAATCATTAAGAGTAATATTGAATCAACCATTAAGCATTCATTTTGTTTCAAGAATAGGAAAGGCCTAACGTTAAAGATCAAAATAAACGCTACAGATGTGAGAATGCGAGATTTGTTGCTGAGTTAAACGCTCTCGCTCTTTCTCTGCTGTCTCTTTGCTATGTCTGTAGAAATGGTCGTTAATTCTTAATTTGGTTACGGCCAAGACATGTTACAGGTAATAATATAATCAAAAAATCATGGCAACAAATTATTTTTTTTAAGTCAGTTTAATAAGTTGAAACGACTTTCACAGTAAATTTTATTCAACTTAACCCATGTTTAACCGTTGCTTCTTGTCAGGTTTAGGCTACTTTTTTCAATGAATTTGAATGAATATACGAATTAATAAAAAATACATTTTATTATTTTTTTTTGTTACAAATAGTTCATTCATTTATTTTTAACACCGCACCCCCATTTTTTCGTGGGCTACACTCCAGGGGGTGATACAGCACCCTCAGCACCCCTACTTCCCACGGTAATGGTCATGGTTATTAATATTCTGCATTGTTGTTTGTCCTGCTCGTGCTGCACGCTGAAGAGATAATCACCGTACAATTAAGCACTTTACTGCAGTGCAACCAAATGCATCTTATACGAGATATATCATATATACACTATATATATAAACCGGCTGAAACGTTTTGAAATCACTTGTACCCTACCTGATCTAAAAAATCCAGTCTTTCACTCTGCCTGTGTCACTCTGCCCCATCTTGTGCCGCCAAGATGCTCCTCTGTCGGTCACGGATTATGGAAAGTGAAACTTAAAGGAGGATCTACAGCTAACCTTAACAGGCATCTAAAGGTGAAACATCCAACTGTGCAGCTGACACAAAGGGAAACTGAACAAGCTGAGGAGCCTGGAACATCCAGTAGTACCAGCACTGCACAACCTCCTTCTACCTCACATGTCACTACCAGCACTTCTCATACGACTGTCCCACATGGACGACGAGCAGGGCAGACCACTCTAACACATTTTGTGGCTCGGTCACTTGACCCACTAAGACAAAAGACAGTGGATGAGGACCTGGCAAGGATGATTGCATTGGATCTGCAACCTTTTTCTATTGTGGAGGACAGAGGATTCAAAGCATTTCCAAAGGTCTTTAACCCCTCATATATATTGCCCAGCAGGCAAACCCTGTCAAAAACAATAATTCCAGAAATGTTTTCGAAGATTCATGAACAAATTATGGAAAAAGTTGGCAAGGCACCAGCAGTGTGCCTCACAACAGACTGCTGGACATCTAGGGCCACATGTGGTTTTATGTCAGTTACATGCCACTTCATTGAACATTATAAAATTGAGTCATGTCTGTTGGATTGTTTTGAATTTGCTGAAAGGCACACTGCAGACAATCTTTTAAGAATTGCCAGAGACTGGAACATAACTGACAAAATAGTAGCTTGTGTTACTGATAATGCTCACAACATAAGCCTGGCCATTCACAAAACCTCATGGAAGCATCTGCCATGCTTTGCCCATACAGTTAACTTGATTGTGAGGGGTGGACTCAGTGTAATCCAAAATACACTGAATAAGATTAAAGCAATTGTGGAGTACATGCACTGAAGCACTGTGGCAGCTGAAAAACTTAAGGCAACTCAGCAGCAGATGGGTTTGCCTGAGTTAAAACTGAAACAAGACTGCCCAACACGATGGAACTCCACAATTTATATGTTATGGAGATTTCTTGATAACAAGGATGCCATCATCACCACACTTGCACTGGTAAATGCCCGACTGGAAACTCTTGATAACAAGGATGCCATCATCACCACACTTGCACTGGTAAATGCCCGACTGGAAACTCTGACACAGGATGAGTGGAAAGAAATGGAAGAGGCCTGTGAGGCTTTAAGACCATTTGAAGAAGTCACAGTGGAAAAAAGTGGCGAGAGGTATGTAACAATACTCAATACTAGAACAATCATTTTTATAACAGATTCGATTTCATTTAATTTTATAATTTTATTGTACTTTTAAAACATTATTTACATTTTATAACATTATAAAAACTGTTTTTAACAGGTTTTGCAGACTGTAAAATGTAAAGATAAATGACAGTGTAAGTGGCATTGTTATTGCCACAGTAATGCAGGAAAATTAGTATTATTCATTATTAATTATTTTACTGCATTTATTAAATTTAATTGTTGTTTTTGCTCACTATAGCTATGTGACTGCCTCAAAGGTGATCCTGCTTTCATGGAGTCTCCAAAAATTAAGTACAAGATACCTGAGATCAGTAGGGTTCAGAAAACCTATCATGGACATGCTTGAGACAATGACCAAAAACATAGCTACCAGGTTCCACAAGGTGGAATTTCACCATTTGTTTTCAGAAGCATCTGCACTGGACCCAATGTTAAAAAAAGGGCCCTTTCAGATGATCATGCAGGAAATGAAGCCTTCTAGAGACTCAAAAATGCCGCAGGGAGAGTGAGATTGTCCTCCTCAGCACATCAAACAGAGCAGCAACAGGCAGCAGCAGCATCACCACCACCGCCACCACAGGAAACACAAGAAAGCTTGGTGTGGGGTGATTTTGATGTACAAGTTGCAGGTCTTGTGACAAGAACAAGTTCTTCAGCAGAGGCTGTTTTGGAAATGCGGTCATATTCAGAGGAGCCCCTGCTAGCAAGGTCCTCCAACCCACTACTCTGGTGGCAAAACCGGGCACTGATTTACCCCAGACTGACCCAACTTATGCTGGAAAGGCTTTGCCTTGTGGCAACATCTGTTCCATCAGAGAGAATTTTCAGCAAGATGGGACAGATAATCTCTGAAAGAAGAAGCAGAATCAGCCCCTCTAAGGCCCGACAACTGATATTTTTAAATGCCAACCTAAAATAATTTGTTTTTGTAATCACTGCTTATGTGCCAGGGTCTTTTTTCCATGCGGCTCTGTTTTGTATTTTTGCACTACTGTGTTTTGGAGTTTCTTTTTGTATTTTTTTTGCACTTTAAATACTGTTTAGTTTTAATATTTGCACTACTGTTTACCTGCTTCTCTTACATTTTAAAAGAAACTTAAAATGTACATTTGTTTACTTGATTAAACTTTACACTAGGGTGAATTAAGGGTGATTGGGACATAAGGTCAAATGGGACAGTATAACTATACAGAGTTTAT